GCCTCGTTAATTTGGCTGACACCATTATAGTGATACAGGGCAGGGAATTGTACTGACGGAGCCTCATGGAGTGCAGCCATGAGGCAGACACCCCACGGGGTACTGCACTAACCAGAGAGCCCTGCAGACCCCTGCGCATGTGGAATGCGATAGCCTCGTTAATTTGGCTGACACCATTATAGTGATACAGGGCAGGGAATTGTACTGACGGAGCCTCATGGAGTGCAGCCATGAGGCAGACACCCCACGGGGTACTGCACTAACCAGAGAGCCCTGCAGACCCCTGCGCATGTGGAATGCGATATTCCTGATCGCTGGGGGAAGAGCTGCATGACCTGGGGATGTTTTGGCTCACAGATATCCAAGACAGAGGAAGGCCTGAGAACAACTTCCATCTGATGTGTTAGGTCAGTGCACGTATTTTCATCTGTGTGATAATCGTGACTCCGTGTATCTACTGGAGATGGTGGATGTTTATGAGGGTTTACGCTTCCATGGGTCTCCAGTGCCATAGCTGGGAAAGACACCTGGACTGAGACTGGAAAAAATGCAGGAAAGGGGTCCTGGAGTGATGGGGTTCATGGCCAGAGGGCTGGATCTTCAAACACTTGGAGTGAGGACAAAGAGCCAGGGAGGGAAAAGAACAGGGAAGTTAAACATCAGCTACGCTAAGACACAACACTGAAAACATTGGAAAGCAGATTAAAACTTGACCAGTTTAGGGGGGGATTATCTGAGGTGGACCACTGTGTTGAGCAAACAGCTGGATGCAGGAAAACGCTCCAGCTCACCTCTCTCTTTAGCCTAAGCCATGGAGCAAAACAGTACATTTCCTTATTCTTTGTTTATTCAAACACAACATACCTAACAGACCAGTATTTTGTTTGCTACAAGTTTACCCCTCTCCAGCACGTCTGCTGATGGTCAGCCTCAAGACTCCCGTTGACGTCATCCGTACTAGATGCGGACATCTCTCCTGTTAAGGGAGGCTGAGAGAGTTGGGGGTGTTCAGATGCTGTCAGTTGGGGGAGTTGCTGCTGTGTTCACGGGGACGTCTGAATCCCCTCCTGGGATTCGTCTTAATGTTGACACCGAATCCCACACCTGTGGGACCACCAGCTCCTTGGCTGGACACCCATCTTCCAAGGCTTCCCAGGTTCAAGGAATACTTCCTT